ACAGTATGTTTTTACATAGAATAACAATTCTTCTTTAATAAATTGAGTGTCGCCCAGTCTTTAAAAATACAGTCAACTAGGCGACAAATAATCTTCACTGGGCGACATTTGTGTCGCCCAGTTTACTAGCTTAAAAAATGCACTGGGCAGACAACATTCAATGGTAATATGTTATGCTGATCTGGAAGTTCGTGTTGAATGCCAGCTGGACGGTCTCTCATGGACGCAGGTGCTCTCGGTACAACAGGAGGAATCGGTACGAACTGCAATTAAAATGCACAGTTATTAAGAATATAATGTTATAAATGTTTATTTTAATTTTTAATAAGATGTATTTACTTACTTCTTCATTGACGTCTGGTAGTAAACCGTCAAGTGCATCCCTCAATTCAAATTCTGCCTCTGCGTCAGCAGGAAGTAAATCCACATACTCAATGTCATCTTGTACCACTTCCTCTGGTAGCATTTCTTCTTCAGCTAGGTGCATCATTACTTCTTCCACTTGGACTTCGACAACTTCTATCTCCATCCCGTTGTTACCGGGGATTGCCACTTCCGCTTCCAGTTGACCGCCTGGTGCCGCAATCTCAAGAAGTGGTTGAACTACCTACAGTATCAAAGGAAGTCCGTTGTAATGAGTGTATAATAACAATCTCAAATATTATCAGCTTAAATATTCAACGAATGTGTTTTATGTGTTATTATTATGATGATATTTAACTGCATATCAATGACATGTGATTTAATAAGCATATAAAAATCAGCTCACCAATAGGGAATGTAATAAGTACAACACTTTTGTAATTAAATAAATTAAAAACTGTGCATATAGAGTATGGTGCAATCAATTAGTTAGTAAAATTTAAGGTCCGTGTAATGGTGAATTACACTAAAGAATGAATAAAGTTGAATAGTAGCATCTCAAATGTTATAAGATTATAAGCATTCAACATATGTGTCATATGTGATATTATAATGTTTGACTACATATCAATAACATGTGACTTAATATAAGCATATACAAATTGCTCACCGATAGGGAATGTGATAAGTACAGCACATTTTGAATAAATAAAAAACAGCGTGGAGAGCATATTATAATCAATTAGTTAGTAACATTTAAACTACACGTTATAGTGAATTGCATTGCAGACCGAATAAAGGTCAATAGCAGCAATTGTTGAATATTTATAGCTGTAATAATGTAAGTAATTATTTTACATAAATAAAATGAATTGTAGCCTAGAGAATGTATCCCTTCTGATAATAATGAAAACAATACATTTAAGATACACATAGAGGTGGTGTATAAAGTGTATAAGTGTGAAAAGAACAAAAGTATTATTATGATTATTTCAATTAAATTATTAGAAAAAATACTTTATTATATTTGAATAATAATATGAATTGAACAATTGGTATTTCAATGTAAAGTAATTTAATCAATTGTGTCTATAAGCATGACATTATATGTTAATAAATAAATGACACCATATGGCATTATGTAATAATAATTATTAACTTAATGCAACTGCTACAGTCTAAGTTGGGTTTATGCGTGGTTTGGTGTAGTATTGTAACAGTGTCATTGGAATACCTAATAAAAATAGCCATTATACACTCACTGAATATGGCACCGCTCTTGATGTTGTCTTTCTCCTTCATAATCACGACCTAGTACGAAATGTCTCGAGCACACATTTGAGTTGGCCAAAATCTGATGTGCATTTATACCACAGTTCTAGACAAACAACACCCACTGACGTCTGCTGCGGTCATTCGGTGGAAACCTAATTTAACCATTACATTATGAGTAGTTTTAGTGTAAGTCTAGTATGAATTGTTAATAAATTTATTGTAACCTGTGCAACGAAACTCCATCAACACCATCGACGTTTCCGCAGATCACACACAATCTAACCATGGTGATGTGCCTTAATTTTGACATTTTAAAGAAAATAATATGTAATAGCATCATATTGTAAACGTAATTAATATTATATGTTAAATAGCATCTGTATTTTTATTCTTAAAAATATGTAGGCTAAATAGTGAATAATAAGCGTAATAATATGTATATTTTACGAATACACGAGTACATGACACTCAGCGTCGTTATAACGTTATTATTAATCACTATTGTTATCACTCATCAGTGCCCGATGACACGGCAACACGGGAATTCCATGAGTTTTGTGTTATATTTAGAAAAAGTGCGTATACGGTACACATCTAATGATGGTACATAAAATATACACAGAAAACAATGTTTAAAAAATTCTCCTGACTTACAAAACTAACCTAACCTGACTTACAAAACAAAGCGTACGAAGAGAATCCAAAAAAATATCGCGGTGAAAAAGTGCGCCGTACGTAACGGGAATGTGTTTCAACAACTACCGACCGATGATCTCGGGAAAGAACGTAGTAATGACATCACACATTGAAATGCAATTAAAAAAACACGACACCTTCGAGACACCAAGTTAGGATTTTGAGGGAGTACGCTCGGGAAACAATACATGTCGCTTTTTAAATCAGATGTAATTTAATAATTGGGTGACTGTGATGATGTATAAGTACACGGGGTGAACAATTAAGCTTTTAAATAATAAAAAAAAGAATAGTACTCACCAGTCTACAAAACGCCAAACGTAGTAAAAAAAAAAGGAAGGAAAAAAAAGGTAAGAAAAAAAAGAGTGCAAATTTGTATAGTAGTAAACGCAATTACTAAAAACGAACGTTTCGCACAGACGCTCGGCGAAGAAAGTCACCCGAAGTCGGAGCGGAGAGCTGACCCAGGTCCATTGCGCTCTTCGTCCTCTACTCCGCCACCACATGTCAGCGGTTGCGGTATTACCAAAAGTTGCCCATCTAATTTAATTTGTTTTCAATAAGCTTTTTTTCAATGGTCAACGATTTTGACAGACCCTCGGTATTGGTAATGACATCGGTAAATACGTAAAATTCAAGGCAATACTAAACGGTGGAATGAATTCTATATTTATTTGCCATCGACCAGTGGAAGTGAGTACACGTATCTATTATATTTTTCACTTTTTTTTTTGTTTTTTTGACAACTTGACTAATGTTAGTTTTTCGTTGTAGAATGTTTCAGTTTACAAATTGTTCGGTGACGGTGGCTGCAAGCCCCTTCACCAATAAACCGTATGCAATTGTAGCACCAAAAAGTATGTTTAAATATTGTCCATTGTCATTACGTGTACAGTGTGTCTCGTTTTAAGTGTACCACTAAATAACTCAGCTCGATAATCTTAGATTGAAATACGGTTTGCTGCAATAGCTAAGGGGTACTGAAGTACACATTTAAGGACAAATTTCAAATTTTCAACTCTTGTAGTATGCTCATGCGCAATACAAATTTTTTTTTTAAATTGCAACACCTATTTTTGTCAATGGATATGGATAGATTATTTATTCTTAGTAATTTTGATCCGTTGACCATAGTTGTAAACCTAAAATTGAATGAGTTACAGGTTTTTGACATTTTAAAATAATTAAATTTTTTCGATGGATCAAAATTACTCAGAAAAAACTAATCCATCCATATCCGGTGACAAAAATAGGTGTTGCAATTTAAAAAAAAAATTATATTGCGCATGCACATACTACAAGAGTTTGAAATTTGAAATTTTGAAATTTCTCCTTAAATGTGTACTTCAGTACCCCTTAGCTATTGCAGCAAACCGTATTTCAATCTAAGATTATCGGGCTGAGATATTTAGTGGTACATTTAAAACGGGACACACTGTATGCAATGATAAATATAGTAATGTTGTCCGCTTTTCTTTTTCAGGGTGTTACAATTGCAGAAAAACGGGGCACTTGGCCCGCCATTGTAAGTGTATTTTGTGTATATTATATATATTATATCTATGATCGTAAGTAATGCATCTAAAATATTATTTACTATTATGCAAGCAGAAAACAAAATGTTCAGAGGGGCTTGTCCCCTCCCCGGCGGCGTGACCGGTTACCAGTAGCCAGGCGGGACTCGGCCCCCCCGATATTGACCCAAAGTCTGGCCACGATGACCGTGAAAGTGAGTAATATTACAATTTTTTATATATATATAATATTATGTAATATTCATCTTAGTTATAAATGTTGTTAAATACATTGTTTATAGGATGACGGCTTTACGGGATTTGGTAAGCTATAAAAAGTTACTGTGGGCTAATTTTTGAGTCCTTTTTATTTTCTAATTCTTATTTGTTTTTGTATATATTTTCAGAATGAATAAAATAAAATAATATATATATATATATATATATCAACAATAATTTATAAGTGTTTTTTTTTTTTACATAACCTAACTTATATTGCAACACATATATAACAGATGTTATCATAACTAAAGACAACATTAATTGTTAACCAATGGCTTATTGTAGGTAAGGGTAGCCTAAAAGTATAGATTGCAATAAAATAAGTAAGAAAAAAATTGAAACTTTTCAAATGTAGTTGACTAATAAAACATGGGTATCAATGAATTTTATTATATTTTTTTAATATCACACATTAAACTCAATACAATTAAAATTATAATAATAAGTAAAAATGATATAAAGTATAGTATATAAATGATATGTATAATACATTTTTGCATGCCAACTACATAAGAATGATGACAAATAATACAATATTTTAAGGATAGTTACATCATTTGAGGAAGCAAATTTATATATATATATATAAATATTATATAATAATATATCACATTATCATATCACATGTATATGTAGTATTCTTGTTTTGAAATTTGTTTGAAAAATTGCAAAAAATTAATACGTGTAACCCAATGTTAAGGTTGGTACAGGTATACGGTATGTAATTATATTATAATAGTAAGTAATTAATAAATTCCTATAGTAAGTAATTATATTATACATAACATGTATGTTTTAAGAAATTGAAATGTATTGAATTTATTGTAGTCTTTTCATGTTTACTTATTATTACTTACATTAATATGTACGTAACGACATTGTCTTAAACAATCAACACTCCTACTAAAACTCTTAGCTTTAATAGTTTAATGTTATGCAATACTCATGCAAAATGTCCATCTAATCCGTGCATTCAAACAACTCATATTTTTAATATTATTGAAATGCTGATTAAACGGCCGGAATCGACTTACACGGGCAGCCAGTAATAACATTTACAATCTATTTAAGCGAACATGGCATTTTAGAAGAAAGGTTTAAAACGATGATATGAAAACAATTATTATGTACTAGAAGAAAAAATTGAAAAAAAGTTTTTTGCATCTTTGAATCTCGAGCACTCGAACCCCATTTCTGAATTTTGCGTTTTACATATAATATATATATATATTACACACGGAAATATCACAATTTTTGTAAAAATCAGACACTTATACGCGTTATTAGCGTATTATTATTAACGTCGATCGTCGACGACGAAAGGGGGATGAGCGAACTCGCGAGAAGCGTTACGATTAGTCGTCATGGAAGAAACGCGGATTGAAGTCAGCGCTCCGCGCGGATCTTACAGCGTTATTAGCGTTTTATTATA